CCTTCAGGAGCTGATCAAAGGGAAAACTACCTCTACAAAACAAAACCATCACACCAACATGGCTTTTCTCTCATTTATCCACAGAAACACCAATGAGGGTCCTAAAGTAGCATCCAGTCACCCTGTAGACCTGCAAGTGCCATCCTAGCAGCTGGGTTTCTGTATTTAGGTGATGCCTGCTGCCAACACATCTGTTGGTTACATGCACCTGGGGATGCTTCAGACCTGCAGCACAGCATCAGGCTCTCTGAGGTACAAGGATGTGGTCCTTCTTCAAAACCCTCAATGACTTCCAAAGCCTAGCCCTGGTCCTACCACAACCAAGCTGCATGCCAAGGACTGGTCCCTAGGAGTTGCCAACCATGACGGTCCTGGCTCCCAACGTGCTGACAAATGGGCACCCCAACAACTGAGTAACCAAGACCCTCATATCCTGCCACTCCTCATCTTTTCAGCCTCACCCTTCAACTGCCCATTCTGACCTAGAGGTGTTTCCAGCACACACTCTTCTACCTGCAGTCAAGCCTCATCTGTACCTTGGCTGCAAGGAGCTTTTGAAGAACACTTTATTTCTCTGATTATTTACCCAGAGGCTTCCTGGCTTCACTCTCACCACCCACTGCAATAATGTGCAATTACAAGACTTGAAGAAAAATGAAAGGAAGTGGCATCTCGTGCCAGGCCAGTGCTGCCAAAATCTGTTCTTCAGTGTTTCAACTAATAAAAAAAAATATATATATATCACTCAATGCTCTTCTTGCATCTTGGCACATCATTTCAGGCCTCTTCTATACACAGGTTTCACCCCAAACCACAATGTTTTGCACAGTCTTTCCCCTTCATTCTCTGCTACTCAATGGGTGAAAGTCAGAGACAACACTGCCAGAAATTTCTACAAGATGATTTCAAGCCTATCTTCATGTTTGGCAGAGACTGATGCCAAATTTGGAATTTCCAAGACGTTCAGGAGACAGACTTCGATTCTCAATTTTTATTGAAAGGTTTTTGCAAGCTCAAATCTTTGCCTTTGGAAACAGCTGAAGAAAGGAAATGGGTATTTGTTAAAAAGAAAAAAAAAAAAGGGTTTGTTTAGAAAGCTTTTCCAACGTGTAGGCTCTTTTTGATCTTCTAAAGGCAAGCAGTCACACAAGGTTAAAGCCACCGAGCACTACCAGCCCAGCACCCCTGCAGTTCAGGCACCATGCTGGTGATTTCTTTGGAAACCTTTGGCAAACTGCTTTTCCATTTTGGATTCCCATCTGTAGGGCTACGATGGAAGAGCCAGCTGAAGCAGCAAGAGGCCCAGCTTCTCCAACCACAGCTGCACCAGTAGTGTTGCTCTCCCCTCTCAACCCCACGCAGAGGAGACCTCGAGGCTCTTGGGAGAACCCCTGCCATGGGGACAGACACAAGGAGAGATGCTGAAGTAGGCTGGCTGCTAACTCAGGCCCCAGTCATTGCAAACTGATCCCAGACCTCTGAACCACTCAATGCAGGAAGAACTGCTGGCATTTGCCATCTTGTCTGGAACACATCCACGTTAAGGACAGAGTCTAGTTTTAACACCAGCCTCCCAGCTACTGCTATTTTTAGGCTTGGGCTGTTATTTAAGGTATGTATTATGACCAGAGAGAGCATGGGGCACAGACACCAGCTCCTGGGCAGATGAGGACAAGTGAGATGCCCTGCAGGAGCCACGGCTGTTCAGGACTGCACACCCACCCCAGCTATTCCAGCACTTCAGCAGATCAAGTGTCTCCAGGAAAGTCTGAGCCGCTGCTTCCGCTCTAACATCCTCCTCTTTTGGAAAGGAGCCCAACCACAGCACGATGTCTTTGCCCCAGCAAGAGTGCTGGTACCACCCTGACCATGCTTCACCTGGAACCAGTGGGCCTGAAGCAGCAGTAACAAAATCCACCAAACAGGCAAAGCCTTGAGTGCCCCTCTGGCACCACGGGAGGCTTGAGGGGTTCTGGCGTGAGGGCAGCTACCCAAGCCCCTACTCCTCTGAGAAGAGGCTGCAGTGTCTACGTCAGACCCAGACTTGCCTTTCAAGGGTTAAAGCTGTTTGATGAAAGGATTAGGAGGGAGGAGTGGTAAACTAGGAGGAAGCTGGGGGAGACTGTGTGTAACAGCCATGCACACGGGCTGTGCCCCGGCGGTGAACACGCCCCAACCCCTAGCTGGTGTGGGCATCCAGCACCTATGTGGGGTCATGTGGATGTGGGGTCATGTGGATGTGGGGTACTGTCAGCACCAGACCCTGGGGCTTCACCTCTACAAGGTGATTTAAACCTAACTGCTTGCCATCCACACCTCTAGTGCAACACAAACCAGGTTAGCACCCGAATAGCTGGGGAGCAGCTGCGCTCTTCACATCTGTGCTCTTCACATCTGTGGAGCTTTTGCTCTGACTGCCTACCATGGAGGGTTCCATGCTAGCAGGACAGGAGGGGACAGATCTCTCTGCAACAGCCTGAAGTTTGTTCCTGGCTATATTCATAGAATCCTTCACCCTTGTGTGAAATGCTGCTGCAGGATGAAGCGTGCTTTGGGTACGAACGCTGCTGGAGCAGCAGAAAGCTGAGCCATGGTGCTGCAGCTCTGCAGTACATCTCAGCTGCACAGCCACTTAGTAAATAAAAGGTCAATTGCTCTATGACACTACATCTCCTCTCCTTTCAAGTAAACAGCCTTAAGAGGCAGATTTTTCAATAGGGAAACTAAAGAGGGATTTATACACCACTGTGGAGGAGAACAATTTCTGTGTCTGACAGCAGAGCACCACCATCAAGTAAGAACTAATGAGCAAGGCCCTTTCAGCTAAGGCAACGTGCTTTAGGCAACACCCAAGCTGCACTAGAAGCAAGACAAAGCATTAATTGGTTTGCACTCCTCTGTCTGCCTTCATTGTGCAAAGTTCAGCTGAGGACATGCAGGGGCAGGAGGAAGTCATGAAGCCACCCACGCCAACAGGGAACCAGCGTGACTGTTGCAAGAAGGACAGAGGGATGTCCAAGACTGCCCAGCCAGGAGCCCAGAGCAATGGGACAATCTGCCTCCATCCCTGAGAGACCTGATCAGATACAGGCCCAGTTTAAGACTGGAACAGCTCATCTTGGGAAGCACAGATGACCCACGAATAATGCTGTCCCCCCCTCAAAGGGTGACATGATCTGGGAAGTGGGGCTATACCTAAATGGGCTAAAATAGCTTCATTGCTCACCATCTATCTTCTTCTCTTAATTGCACAGTTTCTTCAGCCTCATCATGCTTGGTGACCAAATGCAGAGCACTGCACAAAGGCAGCCTTAATGTGGCTTCCAGGAGAAGGGCCATCCTGAAACACCTGGCTAGAAACCAGAGCTGCACCTGCTCAAAGCTGCTTGGTTGGGTCTCTACACTCGAGTACTCCCTGCCCTGTACAGACTCAACCCCTGCCCTCAGATGCTTCAAAAACCAAGAGGGGCTCAGAAGTTCAACCAACTGGTAATAAGGTCTTGGGGGAAACTCCTCTTACTACAAGGTAGTAACAACTAGCCACTTTTGGCCAATGAACCACAGCCAAAGCCACCTAGAATTTCTGCTAGTATCCACAAATAAGGATGTCCAACAGGGTTCTCCAATTGTGTTGCAGACCAGTCACCACAGCCTCCAGGATCACACCTCAGGTACCAGAGATTTTAGGGACAATAGAGTGCAGGGGTTGTTGGAAAAACTTACTGCAAATGGAAAAAAAAAAACTCAAGAAACCACACCTCAAGAATTCAAAAGAGTTAAAAGGAAACTGATAAGTAGCACAAACAGAAGAGAATGCACAAAGTCATTCCAACAAGACCTTACTGGTTCTATAAATGCATTCATGAAGGCAAACAAAGTGTAGATCTATTTATCAGC